GTTGCTCTTGGTTAGGTGGAAATGATTTATGGGCGGTGTTACTGTTGCTGCGTTTCCTTTTTAAGGATGCTATCTTCGGAATAGTTTCTTGACGCTTGAATTGCTTATTTGAGGCTAAAACCTATTTTAACCTTTTATTTTAATCTAGGTTTTAATCTTTTATTTGTAACATTTTTAATCATTTTTTTAATAAATTTATAAGTTTTAACTATTCATTTTATATTATAACACTTTTAACCCTCACCTATACGAGTTGAAGAAAATAATTCTTACTTAAGATCAAGTTATAACATTCTATTAGATTTGTTAGTTGACTATTAATTATGTTAGTTGATTATTAGTGTTCCGTTAACATTCCATTAACGAAACTAACAAATAAAATTAAATTTAAATTTTATTTTTTCTATAATGAAATACTAATAAATACTAAAAGTCAATTAACAAAGTCAACAACCAATTAGCAATCAGTTAATAGTTAACAGAGTTAATAGTTAATTAACAAAATTAATAGAATATTATAAGTTGACTTTAAATAAATGTTATTTTATTTTAACTTGTATAGATGAGGGAGTAAAAATACTATATCATAAAATAAAGGGTTAAAGTTTATATATTTAAAATAAAAAATTAAAATTATTATAATATAAAATAAGAGATTAAAATTTATAAATTTATTAAGATAATGAGTTAGCCTAAAAGTAAGTTTTCTTTTGCCCGCTTATTTGAACCAAAATAATTATCCTTTCAGCGTTCCCACATATATCTTTTAGAAACCTTTCGCACCGTTATTTCTTATGTGAACATGATCTAATTTCTTCTACAGGTTTGCCCGATCAAGTTAACACAACAATTTCCCTTCTCCATCCTATTCATTGCACACGAGAGAGGCAAGTAGACATGGTGTTTGATTGGACAACAATTCCTGCTCTATTTCTCGATTGTTTTGGGTGTTCTATATATGGTGCTGAAGCCAAGAAGGCCAAAGCCAAAAATTAACTGAGACTGGTACAGAACCTGATATCTTGGAAGGGAATGGCCACAATTTTCTCTACGGATAATACAGTTGCATTTACTTGATACTTTGTCACAGCAGAAAGGAATGGAAAGTAAGAATATAGCAGAAAACTGTCGTAAATTTTGTCATGCTACTCGCTGCTATTTTCATTTTCTTTGTCAGCATATTTTAGTGAAATATACTCAGCAATTTATACTGGAGCTGGAATTGGAAGTCTAAATTTACTTTCGATTAAAGAGTCGAATTGCCTTTTTCATGTTTTTTGCATTTTGTCTGTACATGCAGGTCCTAAATAAAAGAAAAAAATGGATTCAAAAGAGAATGAAAGCTTATCAATTGAAAGTAGCCAAGTGATGTATACAAATATCTTCATCACAATGCCATTTCCTCTTAAAATAGTGATGGGAAACGCAATCTTATTGCTCAACAATTGCTTCTTTTGAGGTAGAGATATCTGCGGTGTCGCTCAGTTCCCGTCCATTGGTTTCATATGGGAACAGCATTGAGCTAATTGCTGAAACAACCATTACAACCACAAATACGATAATGGCTGTGGTCTGATGGCAACCAGTCACCAACCCAACTGCCACGAGAGGAGCTACAATGCCACCAAGTCTTCCAATTGCCCTTGCTGTGCCAGCTGCCGCTGCCTGCACATTGGTTGGATATAACTACAAATGAAAGAAATTTACTTAGAAACCAGCAACAGACTTGAAACAAAACCAAACTGTGCTCTCATCCACTTCCACTGGAAGGTATTTCTACTAAAATAACCCAAGATGCTTACCTCGGGGCAATATATACTTGCAACTGTGAAAGTTCCTATTGCAAACATGCGAGCTCCAAATAATAACCCAGTTGTCAAAATAGCAGACTGATGGGTCAACAATGGTAAAAGGTAAATACAAACCATGATGAACATAAACATCATCGAAAGCTTTCGGCCTATTCTATCCACTAGTATTGCTGACAAAAGTAGCCCGGGATGCTCTGGAAGATAAAAATTGATTAGAATTTTATGCTTCAATAAAAGTATAACAGATAAGAACTGAGTATAAGGAAGTGAAAACCAGAACCTGCCCAGCTAGTGATAAACGTCTCTCCATAGAGGCTGGTATCCTGGAAGTTTTTGGAACTCAGATTGGTTGAACTACACCCACTCTGTCCGCTACTCAACTCAGAAGTAATATAATACCATAATATGAAAACACATTTCCAAAGTATAGCACCCACAGCAGAAGAGTAATTTGAATTAACCTCAATGAGAAAAGGATGTAAAAGGTTGAGAAGAATGAATTAGATCCCATGAATGTTTTCCTTTTTGGGGAGAGTAGGGAACTAAGTTTAGATGGAGCAAACTCTTTCTCTTGGCCACTTGTGCTATGAGAAACAAGCATGCCACGTGGAAGCTTTCTTTGGTTCATAACAGCTATCTTCTCCAGAGTTTTATGTGCATCACTTGTGTGACCTTTCATACATAGATACCTCAGAGACTCAGGTACAAGACCATAAAGGAGAACCTGAGCAAATGATGGTACAGAGGATAATGCCAGTAGCCACCTCCAGTTCAATCTTGGCATGACAATCTGCAATAAAGTAACAAAAAATTGTTCCAACATGCTAACATTCAGAAGGCATAATCTGCGCAAGGGTTTCTTGTCAAGAGATTATCAAAATTAATGTTTTTCAAAAACCGTCAACCTTAGAATCACTGAAAGACATAAGACATTATACTACTTCTCATTTGTCATTATTGGTTAAAAAATGAATTTGATGCAGAAATGCCAAGCAGCAGGTCTATACTGTTGGCCTCAGGTCTATGGTACACAGACGACAGAGTGCTCCATGTTATTCTACTGGAAAACATAGAAAATGGAACATACCCATGCAAGGGAGGCCTCAAAAATTGTTCCAAATGTCCAGAAAGTTGAAAACACTACCCTCCATGTGCCTCTATTTGAAGCAGGAACAAATTCTAAAACCCATGAAGCAAATACAGATCCACCTCCAAGACCAAAACCAACAACAAAACGAAGAATCACCAAAGATAAATAATTTGGAGAGAATGTACTTAAAAATCCGACTCCGCTGGTTACCAATGTTATGCCAAGAAAACCATTCCTGAAAGGAGCAAATTAAAATAAACAATTAAAGAAGCCTAAAGGAACTAATAGAAAAGGAACTAAAAGGATAAAATATTTATCATATTAAAATGGTATCACTAACAGCAACTCCTAAAGTGATTCAAGGACCATACACAAGCAAACAAGGAAATGAAGGGAATCAAATAGACAAGGATATGCTCATTTCAAGGATGGGCCTGTAGCTCAGCATGTGCAAATTTCAGCTCTTCTGAGCACTGACAATATCATAAAAAGACCCTTTAAAATTTAAATTCATACAGGCATACCAATAACCTTTTGAGTTTTACAAGGTGCTAACTCTAAATAGGGAAAGAAGCAAGTGATATTCAAATTTCACAAAAGTAAAATGTTCCTCACTTGGTAAGTTTCCACTACATAAAAGATTTAAATTTTCTTTTATGATAGAATCCAATGGTTAAAGCTAACTGTAGTCCTCATACTTTTTGAAAATGTTCATTACCATCCCTCTACTAAGGAAATGTTCAATGTCATCCCTCTACTTTCCTTATTGCATAATTGTCATCCCTCTACTACACTTTTTTGTTCAATGTCATCCATATGCCCGTTAACTTTGACCGTTAATTGCCTAACAGGTCAGATATTCAACTTTTGTTTATTAATTTTTTGTATACTTAATGGGACTAATGGGATCAATTCTTTTTTTTTTTTTTTCTAGTTCTATATTATTCTTTCGGATTTAGCCCCTAAACTAATGGAATCTATTAAATCTTTGCTAAAGTTAGAATAAAATAGTTATAGGATCAATCGTTAAAGATTAAAAATATAATAATTTAGTTCTAAAAGTTTAAAAATTAAAAAAAGTAGTAAACTAAAAAGAATTAACAAATGACTTTTTCACATACACTAAAATAGTATTAGATATTTATAATCAAATCAAGTGATCAGCTTAATTTGAAAAAAGAATTCTAATTAAAATTAAAAAAAAATCTTAACTGAATTAAGATAGAAAATTCAAAAGACTAAAAAAATATAGCAAAAAAATTTTCTTTAATCTTAATTAGATTTCATTCTTTATATTAAGTTAATTACTCAATATAATTGTAAAATATCTAATACTATTCTCAGACATGTGACAAAGTCATCCACTAATTATTTTTAATTTACTAATTTTTTTAAGTTTAAAAATTTTGAAACTAAATTGTTACATTTTTAATCTTTGAAGACTAATCTTATAAATATTTTATTCTCACTTTCACAAAGATTTAACAGATTCCGTTAATGGATAAAAAATTAATAAACAAAGTTAAATATTTGATCATTAGGCAATTAACAATCAAAGTTAATGAAAATGTGGATGACATCCAATTAAAGGTGACATTGAACAAAAGAAGTGTAGTAGAAGGATGATATTTATGCTGTAAAGAAAGTAGAGGGACAACATTGAACATTTCCTTATGGTAATGAACATTTTCACAAAGTATGATGACTATAGTTGGCTTTAACCCTATAATCCATAGTCTGCAATTTGATAGATAATTAATCAAAGGACATTAGAAATAGGTCATAGAAATGTATTAGAAGAAAATAGGGATAAGGGGCTTGCTTCCTTCCACAGTTAGCTGATATAAGGCCCCATGAATATGCTCCAATAAGCACTCCAGCAAAAACAACACTTGTTAAGAGGCTCTCCTCAGTTCATGAGAGATTCCATTCTGACTTAACTGCTGGTCCTATAAAAGATAGAATCATAACCTCCATTGCTTCTGCAAACCAATCAAGTCCAGCATAAGAAAGCACAAGGACTTGGAATTTCCCAAATCCAGCGGCATCAAGTGCTTCATCCAATGTGTATGTGAGTCTTTTATCATCCATATCTTGAGATAAAAACTGCTGCATAAATAGCCTTTATATAAGCTTTAAAAGGACCCACAACAGGACCCATGCACTAACATGAACTTGGTGTCATTTCCCTCAAACCAAACATACCCTACATAAATCTACCACAGTAGTATAATAAGAAATTCTAAGATTTATTTCCTTAATTAACTTAATTAACTACTAATGTAGTTGACTCTCCAAATCCTCTGTCATCTCTCTAACAGTTAGAATGCATGCATGAAGAATCGAAACTGGAAAACCATAAACCAATTTTGTTCTTGATTGATAGCTGGTTCAAAAAGGCAACAATTTACTGCCACATTCTTATTCCATGCGTCCAGTAGCGCACAACATAGAATGTCTACCATCTATTTTGACTTTTTGAGCAATTGCAGTGAATTATAGATAAACTTAAATGTTAACAAAAAAAAATCTATGTAATTTAACATATATACCAAACAGGTTTATGGAAGGAAAAAACACTTGCAATCATACAAAACAGGCCTCCCATTCATTCACAATCATAGTTTCGCTAAGAAACTTTTCAAAAAGAAGCAATTGATTATATTGTTATATATAGGGCAGTAGGGCACTGAAGTCATACAAAACAGGCCTCCACCCTTTCATTGAAAAGCTTGAACTTTCACACGAAATAAAGTCAAGCTTTTCTCATAAGATGGCATAAACTTCCCCAAAAAGGGGATTTCTTACAGGATACTTGAGATTGAATACATTTTGGGTGGGATTTGGAACCCAAGTGACTAAATGGGTACTTGAAAAACTTACAGTTTAAAACACCCAACAAACACAATCTCCAGATTCCAGGTAAACAAAGAAATGGAAGTTATAATAAACAAACTGAAAAGTAATCTTAACTGGGAACTTTGGGGAAATGGAGAAGGAAGAACCTTTGGAATTCAAATGGAGATTCCGACAATTGAAATGATCAAATCTAGAGGGCATCTTCTCTAAGGCCGGTTAATAATCCAAAGAAAAGTGGAGAGTGGAAACCAAGGCATTCTCTTCTCAGCAGCTTCAGTGCTTAATTAACGTTGTCGGTTGCAAGGAGCCGTCATCATCAATACGGTATTTTTTAAGCAACGTGGCATACCCCGCTTGGTGTTGTGTTGGACAACCAATAATTTGAGCCATGCCGAAAAATTTGCATTTGAATAGAAAGCTTTATTATTATTTTCTTTTTAAAACCAATAATTTGTTATCAGTTACTAACCACTTTTTTTTTTTATAGATAATACAAATTAATAATATATTTATTTTATTTTTTTAATTAATTTATACAAAAATAAAAATTTAATTTAATTTTACTAATTTTTTAATTAAAAATGTTTGACATAACATTAAAGTTAAAAATAAAATTTATTTTCATAATTTTTTATAAAAATTAATTATGAAATACTATAATAAATATATTTTTAAATTGTGTTATGAGGATAAAACCCATATATGAATATCGGACATTGTGATAATTTAAAGAAAAAATTGAACATTTGTAGGGAAGCAAAAGCTCCACTTCCATTAAAAAACCACAATGAAAGGGACCTTGTAGGATTAACAAAAAGAGAATGAAAGGAGCATTTAGGATATGGAAAGGGGGTTATTCTCTACCACAAAGCATCATCATTTTATCTCTTCCTTCTAGTCCTACGTCTAACTTCTAAAATGAAATGGATTTTGAGCTCAGGCCTTTGCTTTTCAAACATACCCTTTTAGACTTATTGCAAATCAAGGGCCCATCTGTTTGTGGAGATAGTCAATTTGACTCATTTGAGTCCTTTGGGCCTACCATTCTTCAACCCAAACCAATCAAAGGATGACATGGCAACTGAACTGACTCAGCTGCCTTGTAGGATAACGGCCCCACCCTGCAATTGGAAAAGCTAGGAACTTTTTTTTCTTTTTATATTATCTTTTGATATAATTTTTACGTGTTATTAAATGAGTAAATGTATTTAATATCACAAGTTTTACAAAAATTAAAATAATCAATCATTTAAATAACATGTTCAGTTATATATATATATAAAATTGTATTAAAGTCATTTCTTGAAACTTTTTAGCGATGACGAGGCCCTTTGGCCCCTTTAGGGATGTCAACAAGGCCCTGCGGGGCTGGGGACCCCTTTCCCATCCCCGTCCCCACGAATCACAGGGACGAAGATCCCGCAGGAATTTTTAACGGGAGGCAAATTTTGCCCCCGTCCTCGTTTCCCATGAGGAACAGGGATCCCCGCGGGGATCCCCATTCCTCACCAATTAACATCAAATAGCTCTGGCAACAGTAGCAAGGCAAATGGCTTAGGCTGTTCAGCAGCGGCAGCAACAGCAAGCTCCGGTGGCGGTAGCAGCAGCAGCAAATGGGTTCGGCAGCAGTAGCAGATGAGTCCGACAGCAGCAGCGGAGCAGATGTCTTTGGCTATTCAGCGGTAGTAGCAGCAGCAGCAGCAAATGAGTCCGGTGGTGGCAACCGGCAGTAGCAACAAAGCAGATGGCTTTGGCTGAACAGCAGCAGCAGCAGCAAATGGGTCAGGTGATGGCAGCAACATATGGTCCGACAGCAACAGCAGATGGCTCTGGTGGCAGCAACAGCAACAGCAGGGAAACTGAAGGTGAGATGGACGTGAGAGATGTGTGAAGCTACAGTTAAAAAGATTAAGTGATGGGAATTAAAATAAATTAGGGTTAGGGTTAAATGTAGGGGAATGGGTTGGGTTGGGAGTTGGGTTGGGTTTGATAGTATTTGGTTAAATTTAATTGTAATTGGATTAAATTTGGGTTTGGGTTTGAGTTTAAAGAATAAATTAATTTTAAAATAAAAACTTTTTTTTTTGGGAGATGGGAATCCTCGCGAGGCCTCACGGGATGGGGAAAATTCCTCGTGAAATTTTGCAGGGAGAAAATGATCCCCGTTCCTGCCCTATCCCCGTGGCAGGGCCCCGCGGGAGACGAGGAGAATTGCCATCCCTAGGCCCCTTTCGCGGTTCAACTGAACATAACAAAAAAGCCTCCACCCTCCACCCTCCACCTTCAGCCGCCTCTTCTTCCTCCCGAGCTCCTGTTATTAAGGGAAAATATTATAATTATAATATTATGTGTATTATAAATTTATAATATGATATAATATTATATAATTAATTTTTTTATTTAAAAGTTTATTTATAATATTATATATATTTATTATTTTTAATATTATATTATATTTATTTAATATCATGTCATAATTATAAATTTATAATTTGATATGATATTATAATTATAATATTATTATTTTTAATTTTTAATAGGGCTATTAACATGTAAAATAGTTTTTGAATAATTCATAAATTATTCATACTAAACTTGATTCGAATTTGATTCATTTATAAATAAGTCAAACTTAAACTTCATACCAATCTCAATACTACAAAAAAATATTTTTAACTCAAGCTTTCATGATTATTCATAAGTAGTTCACAAATACTTGGTTTGAATTAAAAATCATATTATCTATTTATTTATTAAATTTATATATAATATCTTGATCATTTAAGACGATTGAAAAAGTACTTAAATAAGTTAGATATTTTAAATTATAATTATTAATAAAAATATTTAAATAAAGTTCATAATTATTTTTTATTGTTAAACTTAATATATTTAAATTTTGGGTACTATAAAATATTTTAAAAATATAAAAAATCTTATAATTAAATAATTAATTATTACTTTATTTTAGAATTATAAAAATAAAAACCTTGAATCAAAATTTAAAGTACTCATTAATTCGAGCTTGTAACTAAACTTGAAATCATTTGAATACTCATGAATCTGAATATGAAATTTAATTATTTTAAACTTAACAAATACTTTTTTTTATATAATGGTTTTTTTTTAATATAATGTTAGGGGTGGAACTCAAATTCTATATCTTTCAAAATAACATAAGAAACCCTTTACAATAAGATGGTGCGCACCAAAGCCACTGGCATTCTCAAACTTAACAAATACTTAAACTTAAATTAAAATTTTTAGTGCAAGCTTAAACACAAGTACTTAATTACTTAATTTTATTACTTAATTTTATTTCGTTAGCAGCTTTAATTATTAATTTTAATTATTTAAAATTTAAAAACCGAATCCAAAAGCTTAAAACCAAAACCAGAGCTTATTAAGAAAACAATTAAGAAATAATTTTTTTCTAAATATAAGTGTATAAAAAATTAGTAGAAAAAGTTTGGGTCAAGAACTTCAGAGTCCAAAGAAGCTTCCCGAGGGACAGGAGGCATCCTTTGTTTCATCTTTAAGGTTCATTCTTCTTCTTTTTCAGATTCACTTACCCAATATCCAAATCTTAATTTGAAATCCCACTACATTATTTATCTCAGTCGTGATTCCTGAAATCCCATGGCGGAGAACGGCGGCGAGGTGACTTCCGAGAAGCAGCAGGGGACATCCTACACGTATTGGGTAAGGGAGGCCACGCCGGATGCAGCCCCACTTGCGGCCCCAAACAAGCTATTCCCTCAAGATATCCTTTCTAACCAATCCAGTTCCAACAACCTCGGCTCTGTTTAGAATCAGGTATTCTTCTTTTTCTTTCCTTTCTTGAAGCTTCTGGTCTCTGATTGATTCTCTTCTGAGAGATTCATCTGATCTGTTACTGTTTTCCTATTTTCTACGAACTACATTCATGAGATTAGATTGAAACCATGGATTAATGCCTGCTAGTTTTGCCCAACAAAATGTGTTATGAGTGAATTTTTGTGCATTTTGTTTAGAAACTTGTGACTGTTCCCACAAAAAAAAGAAAAAAAAGGTACCTTTTAAATTTATTATGCAATCTGGATTTGGTGTGATTGTCATTTGTTCATTTGCTTTCTTCTGCACTTAAATTCCGCTGCTTGCTTCTTTTAATGGATACCCATTTTAGTATTTTGTTGTAAAATGTCAGTACGATCAAATGCTTTCCTGCTACTATTTGTGTTCTTTTGTAGCGCCAAACAATTGCTTAATGCTAAATCTTAGACAATTTGTGCTCAGAGCTTCAATGTGAACCTTAAAAGTAATCTACTATAAATATTTGGTTGCTTCTGTCCCATGAAGATTGGATTAAACTCGCTATCATGTAGATAATTTACACATCTCCGCCTCGAGCCTGCTCAGCACTGAACTTATGTTTTTGTGCGTTTGAATTTTGGTACTAAACCTAATGTGAGGTTGTCTTCTGTTTGGTATCACATGTTTTTAAACTGTTATTTATACAGATGTTAATCTGGCCTCTGACTTTATGACTCAATTTCTAAGTAGGCTGGAACTTGGGAGGAGAAAAACCTGAATGGGTGGGCTACTGACAGAATAAAGGTCTACTCTCTTACAAACCAGTAATGTCTTTTCTTGTTATCCTGAAATCAGACTTTGCTGAAAGGAAAGTTGATTTGCAGGAATTGCTAATCAGTGGGCTCCTTGGAGTTCTCTAGTGGCAAAGGAGAAATAGCTGATGTAACAAAGTGTAGTGGTGATGTGAGTTTTTAGTACATTGTTTTCATGTTCTCATTTATATTCATGAGAAAAGATACCAAGTTGTCAGGCATACTTATTGCATCATTTATTATTGGTTTTGAGTGCTAATCATTCTTGCTGCTGACATTTCTTTTTGTAAGTAGTTTATTATTTCAGTCTAAACTCTTCAGATTTTGAAGTTGGTAGTGATTTCATTGACTAGTAAGCTAAAGACACACATGTAGTTGTATGCCTGAACCAATGCCCCCTATCTTGTTTTATTTTGATTGTATGCATGTAAGCACCAAGGTACTTTGTGATGTTGTAGTCCTTTTCATTATTACTGATGGTTAGGTTATTGCTAAGCAGGCCTTTTTAGTAACTGTCCGGAACAAGAAACGTGTAGGCTACACTTATGAGTTGACACTAAAAGTCAAAGGTGACTTGGATCCATATTGATCTCCCTTTCTCTCTTCAGTTTGTTTCTCATGTTTATTGATCTTGAATGTTAATGAAATTAGGTGAGTGGCTTGTTCAAGAAGAGAGAAGGGCAGTCAACGGCAATATAGATATCCTAGAGTTCTCATTTGGTGAGCTGGATGACTTGCAGGTATAATCTATATTTTCCATTTGAATGCCATAAAGGTAGAAGGGAGATATTAGTGTCCATGGTGATTGCCTGATAGAGTGTCACTCACATACGATAAGTTAGAAGGACTATGGATGTATGCTACAGTAGCAATATGGATATTTAGGATGTTTGTCAATTGATGTAAATTAATATGTTGGCAAATGAGGAAAAGGACATGGAAACTTGTGATGCCTTATTTCTATAGCAAGGATTTCATGGAAAAAATTTATGGAGGACCCAAACTGTTTCAAATTTGTTCGTGTAAACTACTTTGTGAATGAGGACAAAAAGCATATGTAGGATGTAAACTATTTTGTGTTGATTAAGTACTTCTAGATTAATTTAATTGTTAAAATAAGGAAACATATAATAAAAATTGATAATTGCCATTGAGTTCTTTGTCTGAGCTGCTGCCAGTACCTTTTTTTTTTTCCAAAGTATAAAGGTTAAAACAACCTCATTCTCCACCATTCCTTTTCTTGTCCCTCCATTTTTTTCTCTTCTGGCTATCTGTGGTTTGAAAACTGATTTCATATGTATTTATATGTTGTAGATTGAGGTGCAACTTCCAGAAGAGAAAGATCTTCTGCAACAAGATAAGCTGCGGATCATACAGGATATGAAGAAATTTTTGCAGCCTGTCCGTGAGAAGTTACTTAACTTTGAACAGGAACTCAAAGATAGGCAGCTGGTGGGTTCAATGAAAAGCAAATGCATGGCATTTCCTAAAACTAAAAACTCACAGATTGTAACTATATTGTCTAATCCATTATTACCAACTAATTTTTACAAGATATGTGGATGCAACATTAGATGGTCAAAGGGGATGATATTTCCAGTGATGCTTACATTATGCCAACTGATTGGTTGTTTGCCTGCATTTGGTAATTTGCATGCTTTCTGGTATCCATCTAGCGTTGTGGTTGATCTGTGAAAGAAGAGAACGCTTCGCCTGTCAACAAGATTTTGATATAAATGAGGATGCAGCAGAAAGGCGGTGACCTCTTGAAAGTAGTCGACAAGTCGATACTGATTCATGGCAAGAACTGGAACTCTTTGACAAGTAAAAACAATGCCTAAGAAGAAAGCAAAGGAAAAATGGTTAATTTCCAGTTATCATGCAAAGTGCAGTGGAGTGATTATGTGGAGAAAACTTTTAAAACTGTAATAAATAACATGAATATTTGCATGTGGGTCAAAAAAACAAGAGCACCATCAAACTTAAAATCATCGATGATAGATGGAATAGCTCATATTATGTGTTTGGCTTGAGGGAAGGGAGAAGAGGCGAGAGGAGGAGAAAGAAGGAGAGGAGTCCCTCATTTGAATAAGTGAAAGAATAAAAAGCAAAATGTAAAGGATTTTCCTCTTTTCCCTTAGTAACTAAATAGAGAAATTATCCATTCCCTTCTCACAAACCATATTTTGATATAAGATTTTTTAATTTAACAAATAATCTGCTTAGGCAATCTCACATCACATGAGAGGGGAGAGAGGTAAATGAGCCAAGGATGGCCCGTCGCCTGGTGGTAGGAGGCAACAAAAGCCTGCTAGCAGCCGGCAAGCCATCCTTGGCTCATTTTACCACTCTCTTTCTTTCAGCCTTAATTACTTACAACCTAAGAGGCAAATATCTTCTTTTATAGGAAGAGAGAATGGCAACTATGGGCGTAAGGTATCTGAAATAGGACTCCAATATCTGTCCAGTTATGAGTAAGATATATCCCATTTCGAGAAAGAAAAGTTGACCATCATGCATGGAATTTGGAACCTTCCCAATTATCTGAATTTAGGACTCCATCCATTAGAGTGAAAGGTGGAATTTTTTATTAGTGGTTACGGGAATAGAATCTTCTTTTGCAGTTGCAGGATGCAAATATATAGTAAGTGCTCAAAGGGGATATGTTCT